ACCAGATGCTATGATCTTAGTTTTCTGAATGTTGAGTTTTAAACCCGCTTTTCACTCTCCTCTTTTACCTTCATCAAGAGACTCTTTAGTTCCTCTTTACTTTCTGCCATAAGGGTAATGTCATCTGCATATCTGAGGTTATTGATACTTCTGGCAATCTTGATTCTAACCTGTGCATCATCTAGCCTCGCATTTCGCATGATGTTAATTGGTATGTAATTGCTGGAGGTCAGTTGCTAAATATGGCATGTACCCTTTATCTGCATAGAATTATGTAAGATTGTCCTATTCCTCAAAATTGATATTTGAACTCCTCCCTCTCCTCAGAAAAAGTCTTTGGCAGAAGATAACCACTATTTCCAATTCCAGTGCCCTGCATATTCCTAATCTTTGGAGCCTTCCCCTAGCATCACCAGCAGAGTTGTCACAGTGGCTCTTCCATTTGGCCCTTCAGTACTGCCAGGAGACCTTAGTTAAGGCCATTTTCTGTTTTTGTTATAATCACTGCTAACTGTATATAGATTAGATAGATTATGGTATACAAGTGAATAACTTTTTAAAATGAATTTGCATGCAGTTATTTAATAATTACAGTTAATATGGATATATCTCTATATATAGCTGAGAAAAGAAGAGAAGCTAAAGGCAAAGGAGAAAAGGAAAGATATACCCATTTGAATGCAGAGTTCCAAAAAGTAGCAAGGAGAGATTAAAAAAACCTTTCCTCACTGATCAATGCAAAAAAATAGAGGAAAAGAATAGAATGGGAAAGACTAGAGATCTATTCAAGAAAATTAGAGATACCGAGGAAACATTTCATGCAAAGATGGGCACAATAAAGGACAGAAAAGGTATGGACCTAAAAGAAGCAGAAGATAGTAAGGAGAGGTGACAAGAATACACAGAAAAACTATACAAAAAAGATCTTTATGACCCAGATAACTATGATGGTGTGATCACTCACCTAGAGCAAGACATCCTGGAATTGTGAAATCAAGTGGGCATTAGGAAGCATTACTACGAACAAAGCTAGAGGAGGTGATGGAATTCCAGCTGAGCTCTTTCAAATCCTAAAAGATGATGCTATGAAAGTGCTACTCTCAATATGCCAGCAAATTTGGAAAACTCAGCAGGGGCCACAGTACTGGAAAGGGTCAGTTTTCATTCCAATCCCAAAGAAAGTCAATGCCAAAGAATGTTCAAACTACCTCACAGTTGTACTCATCTCACACACTAGCAAAGTAATGCTCAAAATTCTCCAAGCCAGGCTTCAGCAGCATGTGAACCATGAACTTCCAGATGTTTGAGCTGGTTTTAGAAAAGGCGGAGGAACCAGAGATCAAATTGCCAACATCTGCTGGATCATCGAAAAAGCAAGAGAGTTCCAGAAAAACATTTATTTCTTCTTTATTGACTACACTAAAGCCTTTGACTGTGTGGATCACAACAAACTGTGGGAAATTCTCCAAGAGATGCGAATACCAGACCACCTTACCTACTTGCTGAGAAAACTGTGTGCAGGTCAAGAAGCAACAGTTAGAACCAAGCCTGAAACAGCAGACTGGTTCCAAATTGGGAAAGGAGTACATTAAGGCTGTTTATTATCACCCTGCTTATTTAACTTGTTTGCAGAGTACATCATGCAGAATGCCGGGCTGGATGAAGCACAAGCTAGAATCAAGATTGCCGGGAGAAATATCAAAAACCTCAGATATGCAGATGGCACCACCCTTATGGTAGAAAGCGAAGAAGAACTAAAGAGCCTCTTGATGAAAGTGAAAGAGGAGAGTGAAAAAGCTGGCTTAAAACTCAACATTCAAAAAAATTAAGATCACAGTATCTGGTCCCATCACTTCATGGCAAATAGATGGGGAAACAATGAAAGAGTGGCAGACTATTTTCCTGAGTTCCAAAATCACTGCAGATGATGACTGCAGCCATGAAATCAAAAGACACTTGTTCTTTGGAAGAAAAACTATGACCAAACTAGACAGCATATAAAAAAGCAGAGACATTACTTTGCCGACAAAGGTCCATCTAGTCAAAGCTATGGTTTTTTTTCAGTAGTCATGTATGAATATGAGAGTTGGACTGTAAAGAAAGCTGGGTGCCAAAGAATTGATACTTTTGAACTGTGGTGTTGGAGAAAACTCTTGAGAATCCCTTGGACAGCGAGGAGATCCAACCAGTCCATCCTAAAGGAAATCAGCCCGAAATATTCATTGGAAGGACTGATGTTGAAGCTGAAACTTCAATACTTTGGCCACTTGATGCAAAGAACTGACTCATTGGAAAAGACCCAGATGCTGGGAAAGATTGAAGGCAGGAGAAGGGGACGACAGAGGATGAGATGGTTGGATGGCATCAACGACGCGATGGACGTGAGTTTGAGTCAACTGTAGGAGTTGGTGATGGACAGGGAGACCAGGCATGCTGCAGTCTATGAGGTCGCAAAGAGTCGGACAGAACTGAGTGACTGAACTGAACTGTAATATCGGAATTAGTTTTCTGTAGTCAATGTGTATGTTGTAGTTTGGAAACTTCTGCAAGTGACTAAGAAGTTTTACTTTTCACAGTAGCTCTCATATGTGGTATTTGGAGATATTTGAATGGCAACATAATAAAAAATACTAGTAAATAGCCTTTCTTTTACTGTATCACTTGGTTAAACACATGGTGGTTCAGTTTAATTTTGAATTAAAATAATATTCCATTTGATCACATTATGAGACAGTTAAGATATTGTTTTATAATGCAGTCTTCTCCCTTTCCAACTGTGGAAAAAAGTTACAAAGCGTCATTTGTATATAATTAATTCAGGATTATTTCCTTTTTTCTTAATAAAAAAAAGACCCTTTCCTTGTGCATATAATGTAAAACTTTTCTTATTTTTACTTTGGTTTCTCAAAAATCCACTCTGGGTACATTGCTTTTGCTGATAAATAGCTTTATAAGGTAGGACTCCTGAGTGTCTTGTTGGCCTCCACGGATGCATTGAATTTTCCATCGAAACACTTTCCAGACTGACTTTCTACATTTGCTTGATCATTGTCTGTGAATATCTTATGAAAATCACTGACCTTAAGATTTAAAGTAGTCTTTGTATCAACAAGTATGCCAGAATTATTGCATTTATATTTCAAAAAAGTTGTAAGTGTTTGCTTCAGTAATATTATTGCTATTTATCTCTGGCTTTCTGCTTTATTCATTTGTATATAGTTGTCTCTGTTCTTTCTCTTTATATGTATGTGTTATATTAACATATATATGTTTTTAAAAACTGATACATATACCTAACCAGACTTTTTCCAATCTGTGTTCCATGAAATATATTGATCTGGGATGATAAATAAAGTGACAGAAAAGATGTTATCAAGTAAGTTTACTATATCTCTCTTGGAGAGATCTCATTGCATATTAGCATATTAAAGGTTCTGGGGTGATGCAATAAATAAGTCTAGGACACTTCCCCACACACAGGGGTGTTCTGGGGATGCCAATCTGGGAAATCCTGCAAAAAACTTAGTACTAAGTTTTGTTGACATATGAAATAAAATTGATTAAAAGTGATTAAATTTTCAAGAATTTAAAGCATTTAGCAGGACTGTATTTGAGAATGTATTATTTTGCAGAAATTACATTTTAAAATATAGCAATAATTTGTTTTTGGTATCATCTTTCTACTTTCTATATGTTCAGTTACTCAGTTGTGTCTTACTCTTTGCAACCCCATGGACTGCAGCACGCCAGGCTTCCTTGTCCCTCACCAACTCCCGCAGCTTGCTCAAACTCATGTCCATCGAGTCAGTAATGCCATCAACCATCTCATCCTCTGTTACCCCTTCTCCTCCTGCCTTCAGTCTTTCCCAGCATCAGGGTCTTTTCCACTGAGTCACTTCTTTGCATCAAGTGGCCAAAGTATTGGAGTTCAGCTTCAGCATCAGTCCTTCCAGTGAATATTCAGGACTGATTTCCTTTAGGATTGACTGGTTTCATCTGATTCAAACCATGGGACTCTCTCAAGAGTTTTCTCCAATACCATAGTTCAAAAGTATCAATTCTTTGGCACTCAGCTTTCTTTATAGTCCAGCTGTCACATCCATATATCAGTTTAGTTCAGTCGCTCAGTCACGTCCAATTCTTTGTGACCCCATAGACTTGCAGCACTGCCAAACTTCCCTGTCTGTCACCAACTCCCGGAGCTTATTCAAACTCATGTCCATTGAGTCAGTGATGCCATCCAACCATATCATCCTCTGTCATCCCCTTCTCCTCCTGCCTTCAGTCTTTCTCAGCATCAGGGTCTTTTCAAATGAGTCAGTTCTTCTCATCAGATGGCCAAAGGTTTGGAGTTTCAGCTTCAGCATCCGTCCTTCCAATGAATATTCAGGACTAATTTCCTTTGGGATGGACTGGTTGGATCTCCTTGCTGTCCAAGGGACTCTCAAGAGTCCTCTCTAACACCACAGTTCAAAAGCATCAGTTCTTTGGTGCTCAGATTTCTTTATAGTACAACTCACATCCATACGTGACTACTGAAAAAACCATAGCTTTGACTGGATGGGCTTTTGTCAGCAAAGTAATGTCTCTGCTTTTTAATATGCTGTCTAGGTTGATCATAACTTTTCTTCCAAGGAGCAAGTGTCTTTTAATTTCATGACTGAAGTCACCATCTGCAGTGATTTTGGAGTCCCCCAAAATCAAGTCTGTCACTGTTTCCATTGTTTCCCCATCCATTTGCCATGAAGTGATGCGACCGGATGCCATGATCTTAGTTTTTTGAATGTTGAGTTTTAAGCCAGCTTTTTCACTCTCCTCTTTTACTTTCATCAAGAGACTTTCTACTTTCTATGGCCTTAATGAATTTGTAAGACTACTGTGAAAATGCTACTTTTTTGTTGGAAAGGGATTGTTGTTATTACTGTCATTATTTGCTTGATTGTTTCTCTTTTATAAGAATTTCCTTTTATCTTTTAAAAAAAATATGTTTACTGTTTCAGAGAGTGTGACACAGGAAAGGAGGCCTCCCAAACTTGCATTTATGTCAAGAGGTGTTGGGGACAAAGGTTCATCCAGTCATAATAAACCAAAGGCTACAGGTATGGGTTAATAAAATACAGTTCTTAGTTATTTATATGATTTTTGATTTGCTTTAGATTAAAAAATGTTAGAAAGTATTACTTCTTTATGTATATATATATTTTTTCTTCTCTCAGATATTTTTAGTAGTTTACTAAACAAGTTTATAGATGGTGTTGCTTAAGCCAAGACTTCCCAACCTTCTTTAATTAATGAAAAATTTCCTGTGAGGACCTGTGTCTTTTTCTGGTCCATACAAGCTGATTTTTGCAATTCCCTACTTGTAACATTTGTATATATAGCTTATGTGTGGCTCAGTCACTTAGTCATGTCTGACTCTTTGCAACCCTTATGGACTGTAGCCCCCCGGCTTCTCTGTCCATGGAATTCTTCAGGCAAGAATGCATTCCCTTCTCCAGGGGATCTTTCTGACCCAGGGATCAAAGCCCCAGTCTCCTGCACTGCAGGTGGATTCTTTGCTGTTTGAGCGGCCAGGGAAGCCCCTATGTGTAGTTTATAGTTGCGCTGTACAAAGTAACCTTTTATGGGTAATGGTATATAGGGTAAGTATACTAGGGATTATGTGGATTTTGCTAATAGAGGTGGCACAAGTTAAATTCTAAACTGCTAAGCAAAAATGTTTGTCTTTCTACTAGAAACTCCCTCACAGTACATGTAGAGTTCTTAGTTGTTTTTTGTTTAGCTTCCACATAGGTCATAGATTTATTAGGTGATAGTTATACAAGCCAAACAGCTCATTTAAAAGGTGGCAAGAACTGTTCTAAACCCAGGTATAGATTAGGAAAAGATTATTTTTCCCTTGGTTTCAGTTCATTAAAAAGAAGTTGTACTCTAAGAAATATTTAATGTGGCATTGGACCCTGAGAGACTTTGAATTAAATAGAATACATAGGTCATAGTATTTTTTATGTTAACCTATGAATCTAGATAGGTAGTTCAACTTGCTGCTCTCACTTAAATATAAATAGCCTAAAGATTTTAAGACACGTGTGCTACTTTTGTTGCAGCAGATTTTACTTTTAGGAATGAAGTATAGAGTTATCTGCTTTAAATTTGAAAAAGAAATCAGATTTATATGGGTTCTAAAGACCCCACTGCTTTCAACTATAGCATGTCCTCTTAGTACTAGGACAAGATTTAGTAAGCCTAATGCATAAGAAATAATACTGCTTCACATTTCCAGAGACATGAGGAAACCCAGCAAGGGATTTGTTGACTAACAATTCCAAAATAGTTAAACCTTAAATCTTTTAAACTTAATAAGTGCAATTGATTTATATACATTTGAAGAATTTTTGAGGGCAGCTGTTTTAGAATAAGAGGTTAAATTTGTGAATGAAGAGATTTGTCAGATGAAACTGGGGAATGATGATTTTTGACATTTGGAAAAAAGCCATAATACATGAGGTGATTTTTTTTTGTTTTTTTTTTAAAATTTTTTTAAAATAGTTTTTTTTTTTAAAAACGGTAGGCTTTTCTCTTATATTGTCTACTATTATATTGTCTCTTGCACTGAACAATCTTTTTGATGTTGCAAAAATGGTTACCAAATTTTTCAAAGCTGAAGACACTAATAAAATACATTGTGTTTGCATACATCTGTTGGTTGTATGATTGTGACACCATGTGCATATTGATTTCTCTTATAGAAAAACTTTCACACCATATTGGCTTTATTTTTAAAAGAAACTTTTCTTGTTCCATAGGATCTACCTCAGACCCTGGAACTAGAAACAGATCTGAATTATTTTATACCTTAAATGGGTCTTCTGTTGACTCACAACCACAATCCAAATCAAAAAATTCATGGTACATTGATGAAGGTAATCTGTAATTTTAGTTTTTTTTTTTTTTTAAATAATGATTCTACCCTTTTAACTCACCAGAGAAAAAATAGCTTTTCACCAATATATGTAGTTTTTGGAAACAAAATGAGTAGACCATAAAGCTTTCTTTATTAATAGTACTGAATTAAAATATTGTACACAGTTTGAATGACACTGCTATTAAATTTATTGCAATATTTAGAAAATGTATCAGCAGCTTGTTTTCTTCACTTCACTCTTCTGTTTAAGGTAGAAGATCTCTAGAATCAGTTGAATTGTTTAAAGACTTCTTGCTCTTTTGCTATCCTTAAACACTGCTTTGAAAAAGCCCTACTTTCCCTTGGTTCCAGGACATCACTTTCTTCTGCTTTATTCTTTTGTTGTTGTTGTTGTGCATCTATTCAACAAATATTATTGAATGCTTTCTGTGTTCCAGAAACAGATGTAGAATTTCAGTCTTGGTGAGCATAATAAAAGCATATGATGCATCCTTAAATTAGAAAATAGAAATAATTTAGTTGTAAAAGAATATTTTTTCTATCATTGTTTTACTTATATAGTTTAAAAGCTATTCTCTGTAACATTGATTCATTTATTCTTTTTTAAAAAAAACAAAAAACGAATATTGAGTATTTTGTCAGTGGCTGTGAAGCCAGCCATGGAGAAGACTAACAAAGTTCCCGGTTAAAGGCAGCTTATATTTTAGTTGGTATGGTAGACAATAAATGTATAGACACATAAGGTAATAATCAACTGTGACGTGTGCCATGAAGGAGACACACAGGGTGATAGCAGGTGGTAGGAAACTGGCTCCCAGAGGGTAGTTTGGAAAAGATTCTTTGAGGAAATGATATTTATGTGAGATCTGGATGGTGTGAATGAACCTACAAGAGAAAGAGCTTGAGAGGAGCATTCTAGGCAGGGGAAATAGCAAAGGACCTGAAGTAAGAAATTTTCTGTCTAGGGAAGAGGAAGTAGGGGCAGGCCAGAGTGGCTCAGCAGGCTAAGAAGGAGAAGAGGTGCATGAAGACGAATCTGGAGAGGCAGGTAGGAACCAGGTCATCCAGAACCTAAGAAGTTTTGGTGAGAAGCTTAGTATTTATTGAAAGAACACTGGAAAGCCATTGAAGGTTTTAAACAGGGAAATGACACAAGATCAGGTAAGATCTTTAAATTTTAAAAAGATCTCACTAGTTGTTCTGTGGTAATTAGATTGGCAAGTAGAGAGCGGAGAGACCAGGTAACACTGGCTGCAGTGTGAGAGATGATGGTGACCTTGACTGTGGAGGTGATGGTAGAGAGCAAGAGTGTTGGACACATTGGGGATATATTTTGGAGACAGAAACATGACTTTGCTTTATGGAACTGAGTGTTGGGCTTGGAGGGTTGCAAGTCTGGAAAAGAAAAGAATAACTTTAAAATAGATTAAATATCATGAGTAAAGAATCTTAAATGAGTTAAAGTGTTAAGTATAGTAAACACCCTTGTCACTACTCACTTTAAGAAAAAGAACACATTATCATTTCCTTTGAAATCCCCTTGGCACCTCTTCCTAGTGTCACCCCCTGCACTCTCCTCTGAGCTACCATCATCTTTAATTTAGTGTTGATCATTTAATTTAGAGTTTATCATTAATTTAGTGTTTACCATTTAATTTAGCGTTTATCATTCTCTTGGTTTTCATGATCTCTTTATGAGTTTGTCTATATAAATAGCATACTGTTAGTTCTGCATGATTTTGAGTTTTATATGCAAGGAATCACACTGCATGGATATTATGTTAATGTCTTCCTCAACATTATGTTCTTAAGAGTCATCCAAGTTGTAGTATGTGATTATGATTTATTAATTTTCATTGCTATATATCATTCCATTCCATTTCATTGCTGTGAAATATTTAAATATACCACAATGTAATTATCTATTCAGCCATTGATGGACTTTTGAATTGATTTTATTTTCTTGCTATTATTAACAACTCTGCTGTTAACATTCTTATCATGTTTAGGATATGTTCCTAGGAGTGGAATTACTATATGTGCATGGAATATGCACATCTTTCCTTTACTAAATAATGCCAGTGTTTCCCAGCATAGTTATGCCAATTCGCACTCACATCAGCTTTGTGTAAGGGTATCGTTTACTCGTCATTCTCACCAACAGTTAATGTTCTAAGATCTTTGCCTTTTGAAATGGTATCTCATGTTGGTTTCGACTTTCTTTTATTGTGTTTCCTAATGAGGACAAAAATCTTTTCATTGATTTGTTGGTGATTTAAGTTTCTTTTTCTGTGAGTTGCCTTTATGAATCTTTCTTGAAAAGAGAAATTTTTTTCTGGTCTTTCTTAAAAATTTGATTTATAGACCCTTTTCAGATACTAATCCTTTGTCAGAAATAAGGATTACCAATATTTTTTCCTTATTTGTGGCTCTTATTTTTATTCTTGCTACAATGCTTTTTAGTAAACAAGTAGCTCTTAATATTATTGTGGTCATACTTGTCAGTCTTTTCCTTTATGATTTTGTATACTCACGTTTAAGATATTTTTCTCTATCCTAAAATCACAAAGATCATTTTTCTTTATTCTCTTCCAAAATTTGTAGTTTTACCTTTGATGTCTTGAAGCCATTTGGAAATGGTTTTTGTGTAGAGTATGACAGAGGAGTTTCAATTAAGTTTTTAAAAAATATGGATAATTGATTATCTCAGCACTGTTTATTAAGACGTTTGTTCAACACTGGTTGGCAGTGCCTGCTTGGCAATTACGTTAGTTATTTTAATGAAGCAGCTTTTGACTTTGGTCTTTTAATTCATTGATTTCTGTTTTTGTGTTTATTCTTTTTCCTTGACTACTTTTTGGGAGGTTATTCTGTTGTTTTTCTAACTTCCTAAGTTCTATGCTGAGTTTATTAAAATTACCTTATGTTTTTTCTAAAATAAACTACTAAGTCTATACATTTTTCATTTATAAGTATTACTTTAGTTGTATTCCACCAGTGTTCATTTTTTCTCTTCTTTTTTTCCTTTATTTTAAAAATTTACTTTATTATTTCCTCTTTGATTCATTAGTTAGAAGCATCTTTCTTAAATTTTTTGCTGTCTTTTTTATATTAGTTTTTGTAACTTGATTTTATTTTGGACAAAGAATGTAACTTATACAGTTCCAATCAATGATATATTTTTTTTGTTTGAGTAATTGGGAGCCATTCACTGAGGCAGAAAAATTTAGAGGTGGGGAAGGAGAATCAAGAGTGCTGACTTGGAGACAGTAAGTTTGCAATGCTTATGAGAATCATACTAGAAGAGGTCTGGTGGGCAGTTGGACTTATGTATGTACATTTAAAGATGTAGGGCATATTTAATATTCTTGAATACACTTATCTAATTAAGAATAATTTTTTATAGTTGCTGAAGACCCTGCAAAATCACTTACAGAGATTCCTCCAGACTTTGGGCATGCTTCACCACCACTGCAACCTCCTTCCATGAACTCACTCTCCAGCGAGAACAGATTTCATTCTTTACCGTTTAGTCTGACAAAGATGCCCAACACCAATGGAAGCATTAGCCACAGTCCACTCTCTCTGTCGGTTCAGTCTGTGATGGGCGAGCTGAACAGTGCCCCTGTGCAGGAGAGTCCGCCCTTGGCCGTATCTTCTGGTAACTCACATGGCCTGGAAGTGGGCTCGCTGGCTGAGGTCAAGGAGAATCCTCCTTTCTATGGGGTAATCCGCTGGATTGGTCAGCCACCAGGCCTCAATGAAGTACTAGCTGGACTGGAACTGGTAATTTAATTTGACCTAAAAATAATATTTCTTTTCCATCTGGGGTTTTGTACAGATTTTCCTTATTATATTTTTTTGGTGAAATATTTTATTTGTCAAAAAGCCATCACTAGAGAAAAATTTTATTACCAAATTGCCTGACTTCCTTTGCCACCTGTTAAGCATCTGATCCTCTTGTTCCTGATGTTAGTTTGATGTATGTTCAAGGAATGAAAATAGATTTTTAGGCCAGTGTGTTTAGGTGCATTATATTAAACAGAATATGGTAAGGAAAGCAAATTTTTATCAGTTTTTCTTCTTCTTGTTTTTCTTAACCTTCCTTCTACAATCAGTTCCAATGTTTATATCATTGACTTTAAGATTAATCACCATTTTTAGTGACATTCTGAAATCTTTGGTTGTGGGAAAAATTTTGGAAATTAGAATATTGTTTGACATTTCATAATCAGGAAAGAGAATTTGAGTACACTTAGGTTTTATTTTAAAATATTTCTTATTTTTTAATTTGTTGGTTTGCAGGCTAGGGAATGCTAATTTTTCTTTTTGAGTGGTTAAAATAAATAGCTTCATTTGCCCTTTTTTCCCCACTAGTTTTAATGCTTTTGAAAATGGTGCAGGAAAGTCACTGAACCAGGGAAGGTTTAAGCATGTATTCAGAAGGGAAATACATTGAGGATTTTATGCTGGATAAGGCATTAACTTCTCAAATTGTTAGTTGTGGGCTGAAACACTGATTTTCTGATGAAGTTCTCAGGACAGGTGTGACAAAGGAATTCTAAGGAAAGGTTAACTTAGTTAACCCTAAGGTAAACGAGTCTTAGTTCTTTGTATGTGTCTTTGCAAGATGCAGAATAATGCATGTCTGAGCTTTTTGTTTTTTCAGGAAGATGAGTGTGCGGGTTGTACAGATGGAACTTTCAGGGGCACCCGCTATTTCACCTGTGCCCTTAAGAAGGCGCTGTTTGTCAAACTGAAGAGCTGCAGGCCCGACTCGAGGTTTGCGTCCCTGCAGCCAGTTTCCAATCAGATCGAACGCTGTAACTCTTTAGGTATTTGCCTGCCTTTCATTTATTTACCAATCTGAAATGACTCTAGTTCTAATCTCATGTCATTTTGCAGTAGGTGGTAGTAACAGTGGTTCTTTCTTTCTTGCCAGAGTTCATCAGGCTTTTAAATCAGAAAAAAAAAAATGATTATTTGGTCTATAAGAACGTTACATTTATTCTAAGAGGGGCCATTTATAAAAAGTAATAGCCAGGAAACTATGCTTGAGACCTTAAAAATTGAGAAATAGTGGGATTTATTTTTCCATTTCTGTTTATTATAGACATTTAATTTTCAGCAACTCAGGAGGTAGAGATGGAAATGTGGCCTTTGTATGGCACTGATTTTCATCTCTCTGTATTGTTCAAGTATATTAGTCAGCATATCTTATCAAGAATGACTTTCTTCTCAGTGTATTGTCTTAAGTACCTCAATAATCATATTTTATCAAGAAGTCAGCATTATTAGAAGAAGTAGTTTTAATTGCTTGATGAAGGGCTGATCCTCTCATCACTTATAGTAGGTGGCAGTTCCTGATACTAACCCTTTCTAGTTTTGTATTGTCATGGTGAAGCATCTTGAGGATTAAACAGGTAAAAATAGGAAAATGATTTTTATGAAAAACATGTTTTCTTACGTAGAAATAGTGCTTTGAAATTTTTTCTTTTCCAACTTGAAAAATGAAACATCTTCAGACAAAATATTTGGGAAACAAAATATTTTGCTTGGCAAAGATGCTTTTTTACATAGCTTGATACTCTAAAGTGTTTTTTAAATTGTGGAAGAAGTAAGGTTGTAAATGAATGTTAGCATTTTTTATAAGCTAGACTGAATAACAATTAACCAAAACCTACCTTTAGCTTAGTTTTAAATTGGGTAATAAATTGTGTGTCAAAATACAGAAAGATATTTTTAAGTGAGGAAATATGTATGGGAATATATACTATATTAGCTTAAAAGAGTTGTTTTCATTTTTATCTTTGCAGCATTTGGAGGGTACTTAAGTGAAGTAGTAGAAGAAAATACTCCACCAAAAATGGAAAAAGAAGGTTTAGAGATAATGATTGGAAAGAAGAAAGGTATCCAGGGTCATTACAATTCTTGTTACTTAGACTCCACCTTATTCTGGTAAGTTTAAAATTAATGCACTAGGAATAGAATGCCATGGGGGCAGGTGTGTGTGAGAGAGAGAGAGGGGGAGGGAGGAAAAAGGAGTGGGAGACAGAGAACGGCCAGCTGGCTCTGAGTGGAGAAACTGGGGGCTGGGGTTCAGGAAAGAAAGGGAGATTTGCATTTCACTGTATGCTCCTGGGAAACTGCTGAGTATTGTCTTATATGCCTGTATTCAAAATATGAGTACAGGAAGTCATGCAGTGAATGATGGATAAGAGGAAATGGTAGTGTTACAGGTGGAACAGATATTCTGAGTGTATGTGGGAAAGCAAAGGACTGAAGAGAATAAGTATAGGATCTTTGTGCACAAATCAAACAACAGGACTTGCTGTAAGCCGTTGACTGATTTGTGTGTTTGTTTTACTAGGTAGAGGCAATCATAAATCTGCTTTAAAGAATTATTTTCAGTAGATCAGTTGCCTTGTATATGTAGTTTATTCCAAAGTTGAACAGTTTAACATGGCAAAATTTTTTATGCTCTGAAGATTGAATCAAGTACACTGCTAGTTAAATTGAGTATAACCTGCCAGCTCGGTACAGCCATGTTATAAGAAGTAGGAAGTTAATAAGATGTTAAAGTTTTAAAGGCAGGAAGAAGAATAAAAGTGGAGGGCCATTTTGGGGGCAGAATATTTTCAATCTCTCTGAAGTGTTGACAAAAGCAAGAGCTGACGTAATATTCTTCAGATTTTCTGATAAAACTCTGTTAGCCAAATTTTCTTTTTTCTTTGATGTTAGCAGATAACTGCTGTTAGTCCCAGTTGATTTTGACATTTAAAGTAATTTAGGTCTCTGCAAAAGGGTGTGGCGAGAAAGAAGTATAATATCTTGAATGGGTTGTGTATTGGCAATGTTTTTACCTTCGGAGGTTAGTTTCCAGACTTTCTTCTCTGTTGTCTATTTGTTAACTCAGATTTGTAGGCTATCTTTCAGTTTTTGCAAAGAACTTCTTCCCAGTAAGTATATTTTTATCCTTTAACACTGTCAATAAATAGTTTATCTTCTTTTTTTTTTTTTTAATAAACTAAGCAGCAGTATTTCTTTTTTAAAGATTTATTATTTTACATTTTGGCTGTGGTGGGTCTTTGTTGCTGCATGCAGGCTTTCCCTGGTTGTGGCATGCAGGGGCTCACTGCAGTGGGTGGGTTTCTCACTGTGGTAGCTTCTCTTGCTGTGGAGCGCAGGCTCTAGGTGCACAGGCTTCCGTAGTTGCAGTGTGTGTGCTCAGTAGCGTTGGCGTGAGGGCTCTAGAGCCCAGGCTCAGGAGTTGTGGCAGAGGGGCTTAGTTACTCGACCGCGTGTGGGCTCCTCCTAGACCATGGACCACACCGGCATCCGCTGCACTGCAGGGTGGTTCCCTGACTGCCGGACCACCGGGGAAGCTCTGTAGTTTACCTTCTTGATGGTGGTATTCTCCTTATCCTGGGAGGGCTTCTGGGCCCTGATGAGTGAGCCATAGGAAACCTGACAGGGGTTTTGGTTGCCTGTCAAACCAAATTAATTGCCTATCAATTAATGAAAAACACTGATTTGTGTTATATGTTCTTTCTTGTGATTTTTCTCTTCATATTCTTTTTAGTATGTGTTTCTCAAAAACGGGTACACTTCCAGCATGAGGAAAAGTATTCTTTTTTATTTTGCAGCTTATTTGCTTTTAGTTCCGTTCTGGATACTGTGTTACTTAGACCCAAAGAAAAGAATGATGTAGAATACTATAGTGAAACTCAAGAACTCCTGAGGACAGAAATCGTTAATCCTCTGAGAATGTAAGTAGAAGATATGTAGTTATTTTTCCCTTTAGGTGGTGTCCTATTGGCTGCTTTTTTGTACAGCAATTAATTTATTTTCTACTTTCATTTAATGAGAAATGGGAGAGAATTAGTTCTCTTGATGAAGTGTTAACTTTTTAAAAACTTTTGGCCCTTGTACTATGCTTCTTTAACATCTGACCAAAGTGTGGCACATAGTGCATGCCATGAAATGATGAAGCCATTTGGTAGCATACACTCAGAAAAGCTGCTATAAGGTACTTTTACCTTCTCCATCACAATTCCTAAAAAGTTCCCTGATAGCTCAGCTGGTAAAGAACCTACCTGCAATGTAGGAGACCCCAGTTTGATTCCTGGGTTGGGAAGATCCCTTGGAGAAGGGATAGGCTTCCCACTCCAGTATTCATGGGCTTTCCTGGTGGCTCAGATGGTAAAGAATCCGCCTGCAATGCAGGAGACATGGGTTTGATCCCTGGATTGGGAAGATCCTCTGAAGGAGGGCATGGCAACCTACTCCAGTATTCTTATCTGGAGAACCCCCACTGACAGAGGAGCCTGGTGGGCTACAGTCCATGGGATTGCGCACAGTCAGATACGACTGAGCGACTGAGCACAATCATGCTTATTGACTTAATTGGTATGATCTGACTTCTTAAACCTAATTTTATCTGAATGAATAGCAGCAAGGGAAATTTTTTATTATACAGTAGTGAATATTTAATAGTTTTGTATTAGAATTAGATGAGATATATTTTACTGACATAGTTCTTGGTTAAAGGAAGATATTTGGGTCTCCCTCCACCTCCCTTAAAAAGGTGATATTTTTGGTCATTTCCTTGTTTAAGAATTAAACATATGTTTTTCTTTGGCCACAGAAAGCAATTTGTAATGGTAGAAGTACAAGATGTCTAGTAAGAGCTTTTGAAAGTGGTAGGAGGAATGTGGGATGATGTCACATTATAAAATTAAACTATGAAGAATCAGGGCTGTAGATCACAAAATAAATCCGTTCTTTCAGGAACACAGAGAGAAAGCTATGTAAAGGCCATATTAAGATAAACTTAAATTTTATGACATATTTTTCTTAACAATGGAAATTAATAAATATCTTGATATAAGATTGAAAAATGCAGAACACTGGAATATGATCATTCAGAAAGACCTATTATATAACATGACTAGGAAAGTATATTTATAGGTGAATAATTTTTCCATTTGTAACTTTTGTTTACCTTAAATTCTATTATGATGAGAAAACTCTAGTTTTCACTTAGATAATTATGAGTCTCGATTTTTACATCAATTATTTTGTATTATATTTGTATAAGTACAAATTTTTAAAATACTATCTATTCCTCCCCCCAGTGATTGATACTAGAACAAGACAGATTAAATCCAAAACTAAGGCATGTGGCCACTTCCTTATTTCCTTCTAAAACACCATAAGTCCATTAATAAACATTCTTCGACTATTGTTGTCCAACCAGTTAAGAATCATGGTTAATCAGACTTTGTCACCCTGTCCACAGCAAGAAACTTGTCAAATGCCCTGTTTTGATTAAGATTCTTTTTTTATCTACAGCAGTCACACCTAGGTTATAGATGGCTAGTTTTATGACTGAACCTGTGCCTTCTCCATTTCAAGCTTCTCACAGGCAGATACCCTGTTTTTTTGTTTTTTTTTTTTACCTTACTCATTTTTGTATTCCCAGTGACCAAAAGGTTAGATTACTGTGTAAGTGTTAGGTGCTCAATATATGTTGGCTGCAAAGAGCTAATGAGTGAGTGAATAGTAGATAGGAAAAATGGTTATAAGATTATCTGGTACTGACTTGCCTTTATTAAGCCCATGGTGGCCTCTTAGGTGTCTTCTGAAGCCATTTTTAGAATTAGAATTTTGTCAAAGATTGAGTTTCCTATATTCAGACAAAGATGAGAGAAAATGTAATTATGATAATTGGTTTGACTGCAGACTTTAGAATTTCAGTTTCTTATCACTGCCCCTTTTCCATTTCCCTTGGTAGCTATTTCATCCTTTAGTATTAAAAGGACTTTCTCTCAAAATTGTATACTCTATTTTGTAAAGTAAATGTTTTAATTCCTTAAGGACATAGAGAAAACAGTCATCATAAATTAAAATTATTTTTTTCTTTTATTACTGTATGATAGTTATATCAAAAATTTTTAAACCTCAAGAAGAAGCTTATAATTGTATTTTTAAAAATACTTATAAGCATATTGATTTATGATACTAGAGTTATATAAGAAATGCATGATTATCAAAATGTGTTATGCTCATTGTAAACCAACTATATACTTCAATAAAATGTTATATTAATTTAATATGTATGATAGAATTAATTAATAGTTTTTTACTAACAGATATGGATATGTATGTGCAACAAAGATTATGAAACTGAGGAAGATACTTGAAAAAGTTGAGGCTGCATCAGGATTTACCTCTGAAGAAAAAGGTGACTGTTTTAATATATAGGATTTGCTTTAAAAATAACTTGAAGTTATAAATGCTAAATTATTGACTGAAATGGTATGTCTATGTAGTTTTGGGGGTTTTATTTTAAAATATAATTTTTTCTTTGTGGTGTACAATTTTCTTCCCTTTTTGTAAATACTTTCTCTCTTCTAAAATGAGGGATATGTGGAATAATGAACCCCTTTAAGAACCTGGCTGGTTTTAGTATATTATGAACATATAGGGAGAGCTTTCCATCCAGCAATGATACACGGAGTTGTTTTCTTTTCGGTGGTGAAGAGTTGCACTGAATTACCCACAGTTCCCACTTAGCTTTCCTTGTTATTAGGTGAGTTACAAATGGCTGATTAGGATTAAGATTATGGTCAGAGACAATGTTTAATCTTTTCATTAGCTGATGAATTTCCTCAGAGGTTCAACTCCTGACTTTGAATGTGTTAACAGTATATTATAAACAACTATAATATTTTTAGTCTTGTTAATTATTTAAATAGCAGAAAAAATGTCATACTTACGGTTAAGTTTCCCCCAAAGAAATTAAAATTATTTCCCTATACATGAATTATTATTTGAAATGCAATAAAGTTATAACAAACTTGGCACATAATACTTTCTCATAACATTTAAATATCCTTTGTATTTTTTTGTTAGGAAAACTTGAGAACTATTCTTTTAATTGAAATAATATTGATTATGAATTTGAATTCTATATAGGAATATGACTTTTAAATAAAAATAGAATAGTTTAAAAATTTTGTCTGTGATCTATTTGATTTTTTATCCTCTCCTAGATCCTGAAGAATTCTTGAATATCCTGTTTCATCATATTTTAAGAGTAGAACCATTGTTAAAAATCAGGTAATTTTAAATTGTTACATAAGCATTGGAGAAAAAGACAATCCTCATTTCTACTGCCATCATTCAGTAGAATTGATTTTCTTAGTGATTACTTAATATTGTATTTGTTTAATGATCCTAATATGTTAGGTTCCTACACTGCAAATTAATTTAAGTCATTGTCTTCTCCATAGTATCATACTTAACTGGAAGATCAAATACAGTATAAATTTATGCTTTTAATTTTAACCCCAGTAATAAATACTATTGTAATTCATTTTTCTTATAAAACTATATATAAATATATTTGTAATTTAAATTAATGAATCCTTTAAGAAGAATCTTATTTGAATTCAGTCAAACATGATGGGCACACTGTTTTTGGCTATACCATTCAATTAATTTAGCCTTAAATTAGCTCTTTTGTTTCCAGTTTTCTAGCTTGGTCTTTCCCCACTGAATCTTGAATGAAAGACTTGAATCTCATGCAGTGAAGTTCTTCATGAGATATTCTAAGTGGGTGAATTTTCCAGGTTGAATGCTGGACCTTTTTACATTTTAGTGTGGGTTATTTCGTTGAAGAATCTTGCTAATATGCTATTTTGGTGTTCTTGTTCAGTTCTAAGTCATGTCTGACTCTGCAACCCCATAACTGCAGCATACCAGGCTTCCCTGTCCCCCACTGTCTCCTAGGGTATGCTCAAATTCATGTCCATTGAGTTGGTGGTGCTGTCTAACCATCTCATCCTCTGCTGCCTCCTTCTCCTTTTGCATCAGTCTTTCCCAGCCGCAGGGTCTTTTCCAGTGAGTTGGCCCTTCTCACCATGTGGTCAAAATATGGAGTTTCGGCTTCAGCATCAGTCCTTCCAATGAATATTCAGGGTTGATTTCCTTTAGAATTGACTGTTTTGATCTCCTTGCTGTCCAGGGTACTCTTCAGGAGTCTTCTCAGCATCACAGTTCAAAATCATCTCAAAAGCATTAATTCTTCAGTGCTCAGCCTTCTTTGTGGTCCAGCTTTCACATCCATACATGACTGTTGGAAAAACCATAACTTTGACTGTATGGACCACTGTCAGCAAAGTGATGTCTCTGCTTTTCATTACACTGTCTAGGTTTGTCATAGCTTTCCTTCAGGGAACAAGCATCATTTAATTTCGTGATTGCAGTCACCATCTGCAGTGATTCTGGAGCCCAAGAAAAGAAAATCTATAACTGCTTCCACGTTTCCCCCTTCTATTTGCCATGAAGTGATGGGATCAGATGCCATGATCTTAGTTTTTTGAATATTGAGTTTTAAGCCAGCTTTTTCACTTTCCTCTTTCACCTTCATCAAGAGACTCTTTAGTTCCTCATTACTTTCGGTCAATAGATTGGTATTACCTGCATATCTAAGGTGGTTGATTGATGCTTTTGAACTGTGGTGTTGGAGAAGACACTGGAGAGTCCCCTGGACTGCAAGGAGATAAAACCAGTCCATCCTAAAGGAAATCAGTCTTGAATATTCTTTGGAAGTACTGATGCTGAAGCTGAAACTCCAATACTTTGGCCACCTGATGTGGAGAACTGATTCATTTTAAAAGACCCTGATGCTGGGAAAGATTGAAGGCAGGAGGAAAAGGGGGCAACAGAGGATGAGATGGTTGGATGGCATCACCAATTCAATGGACATGAATTTGAGTAAGCTCTGGGAGTTGGTAGTGGATGGGGAGGCCTGGCGTGCTACAGTCCCTGGGGTCACAGAGTTGGACACGACTGAGCGACTGAACTGAACTGAGGATGTTGATGCTTCTCCTGACAGTCTTGATTCCAGCTTGTGCTTCACCCAGCTTGGTATTTCTCATGATGTGCTCTGCATGTGAGTTAGATAAGCAGGGGCAATATGCAGCCTTGTCATACGCCTTTCTCTATCTTGAATCAGTCTGTTGTTCCGTATTCAGTTCTAACTATTGCTTCTTGACCTGCATACAAGTTTCTCAGGAGATGGGTAAAGTCGTCTGGTATATCCATCTGTTTGAGAATTTTTCACAGTTTGTTGTGATCCACACAGTCACAGGCTTTAGCATGGTCAATGAAGCAGACATAAATGTTTTTCTGGAATTCCCTTGCTTTCTCTATGAGCCAACAAATGTTGGCATTTTGATCTCTGGTTCTTCTGCCTTTTCTAAATCCAGCTTGTACATGTGGAAGTTCTTGTTTCACATACTGTTGAAACTGCTTGAAGGATTTTGAGCATAACCTTACTAGCATGTGAAATGCGTGCAATTGTACAGTAGTTTGAATGTTCTTTGGCATTGCCTTTCTTTAGGACTGGAATGAAAACTGACCTTTTCCAGTTCTGTGGCCACTGATTTTTCCAAATTTGCTGACATATTGAGTGCAGCACTTTAACAGCATCATCTTTTGGGATGTGAAATAGCTCAGCTGTAATTCTATCATCTCTGTTAGCTTTGATTGTAGAAACACTACCTAAGACCCACATGATTTCTCAGTCCAGATGTCTGGCTATAAGTGAGTGATCACACCATCTTGGTTGTCCAGGTCATTAAGACCTTTTTGTATAGTTCTTCTTTGGGATGGTTTTGGTCACCGCTTCTTGTACAGTGTTATGAACTTCCGTCCATAGTTCTTCAGGCACTCTGTTTACCAGATCTAATCCCTTGAATCTATTTGTCACTTCCATTATATAATCATAATGGATTTGACTTAGGTCATACTTGAATGGCCTAGTGGTTTTCCCTACTTTTCTTCAGTTTAAGCCTGAATTTTGCAATAAGGAGCTGGTGATTGGAGCCATAGTCAGCTCTAGGTCTTGTTTTTGCTGACGGCATAGAGCTTCTCCATCTTCGGCTGCAAAGAATTTAATCAGTCTGATTTCGGTATTGACCATCTGGTGATGTCCATGTGTAGAGTTGTCTCTTGTGTTGTTGGAAAAGGGTGTTTGTTATAACTAGTGTGTTCCCTTGACAAAACTCTGTTAGCCTTTGCCCTGCTTCACCTTGTACCTTAATGCCAAACTTGCCTCTTAACTCTAAGCTATCTTTTGACTTTCTCCTTTTGCATTCCAATTGCCTATGATGAAAAGGACACCTTTTTTTGGTGTTGGTTCTAGAAGGTCTTGTAGGTCTTCATAGAACCATTCAACTTCAGCTTCTTTGGCATTACTGCTTGGGGCATAGACTTGCATTACTGTGATGTTAAATAGTTTGCCTTGGAAACGAGCTAAAATCATTCTGTCACTTTTGAGGTTGCGCTTCCTTAAAAACTAACACAGACAAGGATTCTTACTCATCTCAATGTCTCAAATGATTTTCTTTGATGCCAATGTTGAGTTAATGGGTAAAAAGAAAGGAAGAAAGGGTGGATGGACAATACTGCAGTTATAATTTGATAATGTTTTGGAAGTTCTGGCTAATGAAATCAGACAGGATATATTTATCATCTATTCAAATATGGTGATAGCTATATGTATATGTATATGGGCTTGCCAGGTGGTACTAGTGGTAAAGAACCTGCCACTAGCAGATATAAGATATAAGAGATGCACGTTTGATCCCTGGGTTGGGAAGATCTCCTGGAGGGGGGCATGGCAACCCACTTCAGTATTCTTGCCTGGAGAATCCCATGGACAGAGGAGCCTGGCAGGCTAGAGTCTATAAGGTCACAAGAATCGGACATGTCTGAAGTGACTTAGCATGCTCATATGTATACCTAGAAAATCCTAGAGAATTGTTTAGAAACTGTAGTATTAATAGAAAAATTTGTAATTTGGCCATGTAGAATAAAATCATGGAGAAATAAATTTATTTGTTAGCAGATATGAAGAAGGGATAATTTCATGCTTCATGAAAGTATAAAATTCTAAGAAATCAATTTTATTGAGATAGATTTTTTAAAAAGTTGTTCAGAGCTAAAAAGTGATTTGATTAATTAATGAGAAAGATTATATTTAAGTAGAAAGATTAAATAAGTTTAACATGTTAATTTTTATAAAATAATTTGTACATAATCAAGATCTTAACTCCCCCCCACCTTTGGAATGCTGTAAAACAATTTTAGAATTCTCTACAAGATGTGAAAACATTGTAGTTTTTTTAAAAAACAATTCTATTATAAGCTATAAAGATAGCACAACAGACCTTAAAACAGTGTGATACTGGTAACACAATTAGAAACTGAATAGATAGAACTGAATACAAAGCCCAGATATAGAATTAACTGTATGTGGTATTTCAGTATGTCAACCTTCAAATACAAATTAGGAAGGAAATATATGTTTAATGCATAATGTAGGAAATTTAGCAGGCAATTTGGGAGGAAAAAAATCACTTCTGTTTTTCATCTTGAAGAGATAAATTTCAGATGATTTAAACAGTTGTCTTTTTTTTTTTTTCCATAGCCCATCACCTCCCATAGCCTTGGGGAGGTAATGCATTCCTGGTAATAACACAGGATGAATGCTGCAGTGATTCTCAGAGTGGGTGAGGAGGGGTCAAGTACATATAGAAATATATCTCAGTGTCTAAGGTATTGTGGAATTTCAAGAGGGCCCTGGGAAGCTCTGCCTCTCCTCCCCCTTCAGCAGCCTCTTTGTATTGCGAATCACTAAAGATTATAAAAATATGAAAAAAAGATACTTTAAAAGTTAGCAGTTTTCTCCCAAGTGTCATTCTTCACCTCCATGGACCCATCTTTCAGACTGAGGGAGAGTCAGCTGATGCAACAGATGAGTACCTTAGAGACTATTCTAAAATGATATTCTTAGTATGAAATATTTTTAAATGGTGAAGAGAATAAAGAGGGAATTAGATACCTATAGATTTGATAACAAAGACAAATAAAAAAAGATAAAATTACCATAAATAGAATAAAAAACTATAACTATAGTTTATATATGTGTGTATATATATATAGATGTGTGTAGTTTATACATGTATGGTTTATATATATGTGTGTGTGTTTGTGCTCAGTTGTGTCTGACTCTTTGCAACTCCATGGACTATAGCCCACCAGACTTCTCTGCTGCTGCTGCTAAGTTGCGTAAGTCGTGTCCAACTCTGTGCGACCCTATAGACAGCAGCCCATCAGGCTCCCCCATCCCTGTGATTCTCCAGGCAAGAACACTGGAGTGGGTTGCCATTTCCTTCTCCAATGCATGAAAGTGAAAAGTGAAAGTGAAGTTGCTCAGTTATGTCTGACTTATAGCGACCCCGTGGTCTACAGCCTACCAGGCTCCTCCATCCATGGGATTTTCCAGGCAAGAGTACTGAAGTGGGGTGCCATTGCCTTCTCCGCCAGACTCCTCTATTCATGGAATTTTCCAGACATTAAAACTGGAGTGGGTTGCCATTTCCTATTTTAGTATAGCCATATAGATATGGCTGGGAGAGGATACCTCACTGAATGCAGTATGCATAGCTAAAGAGAGAATTGCTCATTTAGAAGATAGATCTGAAGATATTACCTAGAATGTAGCCCAAAGGTACAGAGTTATAAAAAATAAAGGATAAAAAGGAAGAAAAGAGACATGAAAGACAAATTCCAATTGTATTCTTGGAAGAATCACTAGAGAGATTAGGGAAGCAACAATAGTTTGAGAGATTATAACTGAAGATTTTGCAGAACTTTTGACACACTTAAATTCTAAGAAAAAAGATGCACAAAATTCCTGAGCAGGAAGAACTGGACTAAATTACCAGTCAGAGACTTATTACAAGGTATACTTTAGTAACATAAAACCAAATTTAGAGTAAGGGAATGTTATGCAAGAAACAAGGAAGTCAAGCAAGAAATTGGTAAATGTAGGTATATCAAGCTTTCATACTTAAAAACAGTAGCAATGACTAATGTGTGGGGGGTGCTAGGGTGAAACTGAAGCCATAGCCACCAAGGGGAGAATCTAGTGGATGGAGGTGAAGCACTCCAGGAAAAATAATGGAAAAAATCAGCATCAGGAAGCAGATATAAGGGAATATTCAGGTTGTACTACTGAGCACCTCTTACTGTAGAACCATAGCACTGGGGATTCTTCTTTTATTTTTTACATTTTTGATTGGAGTATAGTTGCTTTACAGCGCTGTGTTGGTTTCTGCCATACAATGTGAATCACCTGTGTGTGTGTCCTAATTGCTTCGGTCATGTCTGACTCTTTGTGATCCTGTTGACTGCAGCCCGCCAGTCTCCTCTGTCCGTGGGATTCTCCAGGCAAGAATACCAGAGTGGGTTGCCATGCCCTCCTCCAGGGGATCGTCCTATATAATCAGCTATGTGTACATATATCCCTCCTTCTTGGGCCTCCCTCCACTCCCTCCACCACCACCCACCCGCCTCGGTTATCACAGAGCATCAGGTTGAGCTCCCTGTATTATACAGCAGCTTCTGAACCGGGAATTCTTACTACATGGATATGTTATATTCCATGGTACTAGATAATCCAGAATCTGTAAAAAATTTTAGTCGACTACCCACTATGGTCTGTGTTACAAAGAAAGTTAATACAATGTTTGTATTCTTCAGCTCTTAGTTTTTTTGAGGGGGTAGGGTGATAAACAGAAATGTAAGGTGTGTGGTTTTGTACAATAGCATCTGTTTTGCTCTAATTCTTATATATGTGTGTCTTAGTGATGAGCTAATCACCCTAGGATATTATTAGCCTTCTAAAACTTCAGTTATGAGGTGTGAGTGGCTGCTGCTCCCCTCTCCCTCTGGTTTTCTGTCCAAATATCACAAAGCTGTTGGTATTACATCCTTATTTTTGATTCCCATCTCATGTCCGCCTCTCTGCGCTCCCTCCAGCTGCCATCCCTCTTGTCTGTCACTGTTAATATTTCTGAGTTTTGTGACTGCTCACCTCTACTGCTTCTGCTTTCTTTGTTTCCAGTCTTATTTTTTCTGTTACCTGTTGATTCTTTTTTAGTGCTTTTTGACTTTCACAAAAAAATGCTGGCATTTTATTGTCATCAATAATAGATTAAAATCTTGGTACAGCATAACCTTCAGGTTTTTTGGTTATCTCTTTTTTTTTTTTTTTGGTCGTGGGTTCTCAAGAATTTCTACTTTGTTACCAAATAAGTTGTCTTTATTTCAGGGTATAAGTTGCTTTGGGAAACTGAGGGTTTCTGAGGTTAGTGTCTATGTTAATATTTTTCCCTAAAAATCTTGAAATCTGCTTATAAATCTAATTATAAACTGCCTGATTCTATGTCCAGAAATTCTGCTAAAAAGGGTAAGTAGTAAATTTAAAGATTATTGATTCTTTTGGTACAGTTAGTCTTGAATTTTCATGCATTCTAGTAAAATATTTAGAAGGTAAAATATGTAAGGGTAACACTGAGATTTGCATACAGTGGGTCCTAACTTGGTGCTTGTTGAATAAATGAGTGACCATCTAAGAAGAACATGCTTGAGTGCAAAGAATAGTGAGCAGTTGTTAGGACACCTGGGTTTTATACCTGGCTCTGCTTTTGACTTGCTGGGAAGGATGCTCCTTCGCCAGATCTCAGGGCCTTCGTTTTAGAAATTAAAAGTTTCTAAAGGTCTGGAAGGTCTTTAGACCATCTGGAATGTCTCTAAGGGTTTGTCCCATTCAGCCATGTATGAACTGACTTTCCTGTTAAAGGCGTTAAAATACAATTTACTGTTTTCTAGGTTTGGACAGTAAAGTTGAACCAATGATATTAGCTTCTGGTTATTATTATTCACAAGTGCTTTTTGATTACAGATGTTATTGCATTATTTTTCTCCTAATCTCTAAGGGAACTTTCAGTATGAAAACTAAAATAAGAAATAATTTGTAAGTTCTTATGCATGAGTACATTTAATTATTTTATCTAAATCATTGTCTTTGTCCCTGTTGTTCTGACTGTCAGAGTTGCAGATTTTTGTTCTCAATAGTTTTTGTGTTCTCAAATGCCCCTAGAACCACTTCACCTTTTGATGCATTTCATAAGTAAATTATCTGGCTTTTTCTGCATATTTTTAGATCAGCAGGTCAAAAAGTACAAGATTGTTACTTCTATCAAATTTTTATGGAAAAAAATGAGAAAGTTGGAGTTCCTACAATTCAGCAATTATTAGAATGGTCTTTTATCAACAGTAACCTGAAATTTGCTGAGGTACGTGATAATTACTTACTGTATTTTATATTAAAGTCCTTAGGCTTCTTAAGAAAACTATAACTTCACTAACTATTACTTTTAACCCACTGAGAACTATTATAAACACAAACTGTTAACAAAACACAAATTTTGAAATTATGCCATGCTTCAACTTTGTCCTTGTAGAAAATACTTTAAGTTGAACTTAGTAGAAAATACTAAAATTGAACTCTTTAGATTTTGGTGCCAGGGAAAATATCAATATGGTTTGTAACTTGAAAACATTTAAGTAGCTTAGAGCAAAAAAGATTGTGAGGGTTTCTCTTGTCATTTCACCCAATTTCACATTTTATCCAATTTAAAAGTTTATTCAAGCATATCATCCAAAGGAATGTTTACTTTTCCTCCTTCAATGAAAGACAAACTCACTTATTGTAAATGAACAAGTGATATAATTTACTTTTCTTTTACTGAGTATCTTTATGATCTCATATGGCTCATTTTCATTGTATTCATTTTTAAAGGGATGTTCTGATAAAACCTTAATAGCTACCAGTATTTATTTGTTGAAATATAAGGAATAGTGTCCTTCAGTGATGAATTTCTTAATTATACTTGCAAAAACAATTTTTCTGAAACCTTTTGAAAAATATAAACCCAAAGTGGGATGTTACTCTGCACAGTCATCTTATTCTTTTGAGATCCCAGGTGGCTGAACTACCTCACCTCTGTGTCCATGTGTCCATACATCTTGGACTGCTTGAGGCTTGTGGCTCTTTGGTGCGCTGCCTTCATACTCTGTGTCCACATGCAGATCCCATTTTACAGGCCATCCATGTTATGGTGGAATCACTGCTTGGTTTGACAACCATGACTATTTTGGGGGAATTTCAGGGAAATTTATTAATGTTTTGATTCTAAAATTATATATCTCTTTTTTTTTTAAGGCACCATCATGTCTGATTATTCAGATGCCTCGATTTGGAAAAGACTTTAAACTATTTAAAAAAATTTTTCCTTCTCTGGAACTAAATATAACAGATTTACTTGAAGACAGTAAGTATAAGACTTTTTGGTTTGTTTTTCAGCAGTAGTCTTAATTAGGTCATTCACATTAATTGTGAATAAGAGTCTAACAGGATACAAATTTTCTTAAAGACAATTTTCTGTCTGAAGAGCTTGGGAATATTACACTAGAAATTTATTCTGAAAAAATCAGACATGTAAATCAAGATTTCATATGCAAATGTGTTTATGAATAAGAAATTAGAAGCACTCTATATGTTAACTAGAGGAGAGTCGTTAAGTGAATTATAGTGTATCTGTACAGTATAAGTACTGCTGTTCAAATTCATGTTTTTGAAGACCAGTGTTACATGAAAGCGGTCATGATATAATGTTAAGTGAAAAGGTATGTTGATATTGTCTACAAGAGGAGCTGCACACACACACACACACACATTGAGTTATGTTAAGTATGCAGATATAAAATTATAAGAGAAATTACAAGAGTGGTTATCTCTTGCTAACTGAAATTGTAGATGCTTTCAGTTTTCTTCTGTATGTTCTCTTGTATCTTAGCACATTCATCAGTAGAAGTTTTATAATCAGGAGGAACACTCTAGAGTGTATTATTTTTTTAAAGTCATTTGGTCAGAGAAAATGTCTTTAAAGATATCCTGAATCCAAGGAAATCCAATTTAAACTTTATGGGGGTGGGGAAAGGATAGACTTTTGAGTCCATGAGCATTATCCTTTTCAAAACTTAATTTTTCTTTTTAATCTTTTAAAATAAAAGAATGCATTGTAAAAGACCCCTTAACTCCCCCACATCCCACCCTTTTCAGCCCCCAGGCAGTGCCGGATATGTGGAGGGCTTGCAATGTATGAGTGTAGAGAATGCTATGATGACCCTGACATCTCAGCTGGCAAAATCAAGCAGTTTTGTAAAACCTGCAATGCTCAGGTAAGTTTGACTTCACTTAATGGATATTCTCTTAAAAATAGTAAATCATTTGTAGTTGAACCAGATTTCAGGTTTTGAAAAGTTTTCAAAATCAGAATTAACTTTAAAACTTCATAATTAAGGGTACGCCTCTTCTGTTTATTTGATGGATTTCCATGGGTACTCGGTTGCTATTTATAGGGACACATTCCATTAGAGTAAGCGGAGTCCACTCCCTCCAAACATGGAGTTTGGCTCCTTAACGACCTTTTCTTCATGCTCTGTTTAGGTCCACCTTCATCCCAAGAGGCTGAATCATAAATACAACCCAGTGTCACTTCCCAAAGATCTGCCTGACCGGGACTGGAGACACGGCTGCATCCCCTGCCAGAAGATGGAGTTATTTGCTGTCCTCTGCATAGAAACAAGCCACTATGTCGCTTTTGTGAAGTACGGGAAAGACGACTCTGCCTGGCTCTTCTTCGACAGCATGGCTGATCGGGATGGTACTTTACAGACCTTTCTTCCACATGTGGTGACAATTGAGTTTGTAGTGGGATAGTTGTAGTGGGCTAGCCTGGTCTGAGTAACAAACAGTGTTGGGAGAAGCTGCTCAGGAATATCTTGGTGATGCATTAACAGCCTTGCTACAAAACTAAGGAATAGTATTGTTGTGATAGTTTGACATGCATAGAGTCTTTAAAAAAAAAAAGGAATCAGATATTTTTTTCTTTAAGGCTGAGAGTTTTTATTTCTACTTTGTTGTCCTTGACTTTTGATCTCCTCTCATTTTCTGTACCATAGTCATCATTTCTTAAGTACTTCTGTGCCAAACTCTCTGGGAGGGACTTTAGGTCATTTACCTAAACCCTTGCAAAATGGGAGTGGTTCCTATTTTTGTCTTACTAAAGCAGAGATTTAAGGTGCCTAGGGTCTCAGAGCATGTAGTTAATTCAGTCTTTCTAAATTCAGTGCTTATGTTCTTTTATATACTAAACCATGTGTCTTCTAAATGACAAAGCTAAGAATAGAAGTAAATGTCTTCTTTGGAAAAATAAGCTTATTCTATGTATAATGTCTTTCTTCCTGAACTGGGGAATATACTGCACTTTCTAGGCTGCTTTCTAGGATATTTAGTCATTATTTAACAAATACCTAATGAGTGCATGTGAAGTGCCCAGGGCTCTGCTGCTGCTGCTAAGTCACTTCAGTCGTGTCTGACTGTGAGACCCCATAGATGGCCGCCCACCAGGAGCTCCCGTCCCTGGGATTCTCCAGGCAGGAACACTGGAGTGGGTTGCCATTTCCTTCTCCAGTGCATGAAAGGGAAAAGTGAAAGTGAAGCCACTCAGTCGTGTCTGACCCTTAGCGACCCCGTGGACTGCAGCCTTCCAGGCTCCTCCATCCATGGGATTTTCGAGGCAAGAGTACTGGAGTGGGTTGTCATTGGCTTCTCTAGCCCAGGGCTCTAGTAGGTTTCAAAAAATGAAGCAGTTGTCGAAACAGCTATACTCCTGCCTGTATAGAGTTTACAGATTAGGATCAGCCCTAGGCAAAGTTGTGGGAATTTGACTTCCATATCCCTCCAGTTCTTCCATTCCCCGTTTTTCCTTTAGCCACTCTCTCACACTCCAGGTTCTGAGTCTTCTGGTGTGGTCCCTAGTGACCTAGGACACCCCCTTGTGGCAGCCTCTTGATCAGCTGCCCAAGCTCTGCCTCATGGGTTCTCAACATTTTCTCAGCATTCAGACATTTGTTATAGCACAGATCCATCTGTAAATATGTCCCTGGCCCAGTTAAAACTTGCATTTAAGCATGAAACTCGAAATCACAGGTGTTCCAGATACTTTTATAGAAGCCACTGGGAGGCTAAAGCAGAAGAACCTCTCCTGGGGTCCCTCAGAGCACGCCTTGTACCCTCCTGCTATCTAATGACGGAAAACAGAGCCTGTGAGACTTACACAAATGTGGTTTTAAACTTAGGGGAGTAAAACAGTATTCATTTTACTAGATCTACTTTAAACTACTAGATCTGCTCTAAACTGGACAGGCTCATGGTAAAGCAAACAGGGGTGCTTGTGTCCAGGAAGGGATTTGGGAATGTGAAGAGCTGAATGTGTATGTGACATGTGACATGTGACATGCTTCCTTGACTGAGAAGCCTGGGAAGTAGATTTTGGACTTTGCTCAGGATATATATCTTTTGACCGGTTATATTCACTGTTGGTCCCAGAATCCTTTCAGAAACCAATAAGTGAGACTATCAAGAGATAAACAGAGGACTTCTAGAAATCAGAAGTAAAATGAGGTCTTTCTGATCCTGGAAATTAGCATTAACTAAATTACGGAATTGTAAAGTTACTTTGGTGGGGCAGGGCATCAAAAGTGTTTATAACTTCACTGCCCTCAATACAGCTCTTCCTCTTCTCCATAGGTGGTCAGAATGGCTTCAACATTCCTCAAGTTACCCCATGCCCAGAAGTAGGAGAGTACTTGAAAATGTCTCTTGACGATCTGCACTCCTTGGACTCCAGAAGAATCCAAGGCTGTGCACGAAGACTTCTCTGTGATGCATACATGTGCATGTACCAGAGTCCAACCATGAGTCTGTACAAATAAGTAGGATCATCTGGACGGGTGCAGAAATCAAACGCACAGTTTTCATGTTGCATCTCACTTGAGCTGGCAGTTCTGTTCAGCGTCCATTGCCGGCAATGGATGTCTTTGCGGTGATGATCCTTCAACACAGGGTTCCTGTGTTTAAAAACAAATTGCTTTTGTGTTACTAAAGTATTTAATAAGCATTTTGCACTCTAGAAAGTATGTTTGTGTTGGTTTTTTAAGAAGTCTAAATGAAGTTATTAATACCTGAAGCTTTAAGTTAAGTGCATTGATCGTAAGATATTTTTGGAAGCATACAATTTTAATCGTGACAGTTTAAAACCTCTTTTAGTCCTTTGAGAATGTAAATAAATGTGTCTTCTTTATGGACCAAGGTTATGAAATCACTTTTCCTTTGTAGCTAATGGTCGCCTTGAGGAGGATAGAGTCTACTTTCAATCCACTGATTAAAGTTGTTTTGAGTTTGATTTGTTAATTCTTCCCTCTCTAGTGCCGATTCCTGCATGTCTGCAATCTGCTGAGTTTCTGTGTTTCTGTGGTAGTGGTCACAAAAGTATTTAAATTTCCTCAATGGTGTTTTCTATTTGTTCTGGTTTTGAGATACATGAGTGATTTTTGTCATGAAATGTCCATTTTTGATGTAATTTTCCTGGGGGATTCACATATACAGCAATTTAAGCTCTTCATTCATAGTAGTGACTGTCAGCTAACAGCTTTCTTTTCTTTTCTAAAGACTCTCTTATGCAGTGGGGCACAGTAAATTTTACTAAAGAGTTGGAGTGATAAATATATTCCTATACAAATATAAGGTTAATAGGAAAATGAATTGGTCATATAGAATCACTCATTGAAATTTCCCTGAAGATGTATTGGCTGTCTCAACCTCTACTATCTTAGATAAGACCATCTAGAACTTAGATCAGTCCCCGCATTAAGTTCAGTCTGATATCCCTTGAGATAATGACAGTTATGAACCAGATATTTTATTGAAATGTTAGCAGCAACTTTGCCTTCCTCCTGATTCATTAAGTAGAAAATGGATGTTTTTGTAGCTAATACCTGTAGTGTGTGTCTGTTGTAGACTAGCAGCATAGGTTGTCTCTGTCAGTGCTGTGGGACATGTTGTGTGACGATGGTGTCTCTGTGGAATGACTTCCTAACCGCATGGAAAGGCAGAGATTGTCATGTGTGTCTAGCATATGATTTCATAAAACACTGAATGTCCAAAAGAAGGGAAAGAATCTTTGCAAACCCTGCAGTTATTTCTTTTTAAAGTCACATTTACCCTTTGGTTTGTCATTCCATTTTAGCTAGGATTCATTGTTATGAATCATAATGTACAGAAAATTTCATCAAAATTTTTTCATTTTTGGAATGAAAAATTACATAACTTTTGCATGAAGTTTTACTCAATACCTGGGTGACTGGTGATCTGGATACTAGGTCCAGAGAGATTGGGAGCAGCCCTACCCCATCGCCCTGGGGTTGTTGAGGAGCCTGGGGGGCTAGATGCCTAAGGTTCCCTGTAGCCCTGACTTTCCACAAGTCCAGTCACCTCTTAATCAGTACATGTTGGATGAATACATGGATGTAGGAAGGAGCTTATCAATGTGATTTTAAAAGGCTCTCTAGAGAAATGATTAGGACTCTATATCTAGGTAAGACTGGATTTAACAATGAAAAAAGAGAAGACAGTTCCTTTCCTGTAAAAATTAAAACACAAGTTGAAGGTCAGTCCTGCTCAGCTCTTTGTGGCAGAAGACTTGAAGAGGACTTGTGGGGTTGTACGTTTATTTCCCATGGGTAGGGCGTGGAGGCGCTTTCTAGTGGGAGGGACCTCTTCCATAAACCATTTCTAGGACAGCTTCTTCAAGTAAAGCTTCCTGTTCTTTTAACGTTAGCTGGGGAGGGAGCACCCAGTAAAGGGATGCAGGGCCCACTCTAGAGGCAAGGGTCCTTCCAGCCCTGGGTGTCTCCTCTCCAGCACCCGCCCCCCCATCAGCAGTCCTTTCTGGCTGGTGCTCCCGCAGGGCCCTGAGTGTCACATGGGCACAGGCAGGGCTGGGCGGTGTGGCACCAGTGACCCACGTGCCTGTTGACTTACTTTATTTCTAGCCTTAAATTTTCTTTCATATTTTTCTATTGGTCTTTTAAATGTTTCTGTTATCCTTTCTTCCATATCATATGTACAATCAAGATGGCAATATAGTAAAATCATCTTATTTTTAAAACAAGTCATGTTCCCCCACCTCCACTGAATACACACGTGTGTGTTTGTGTGTGAGAATTTATATAAATGGGAGGGGGGGAGGGAGGGCAACCATTTCATAATGTGTTCAGCCAGTTGCTATCAGCTTTACGAAGGCATTTGACTCCATCCACAAAAGAATGTTTTGTAAAACTGGAAATACACATTGCAAACCAAGAGAGAGAAAAACAAAACTCAGTAACATAAAACTGTTAGAATTGCTAAAGATAATTTCCTTAGAATAGTTTAGGATTTTTGTAATTCATATTTGCCAAAAGTTGTAGGTAAATAGCTTCTTTCTATCCCATGGATTCACTTTTTTTTTTCTTTTCACCTAATTCACGTAATTCAGGAACAAGGGAAAGACGTAATTATCTTATGGAACTTGCATTGACATTCAAATTCCTGTGTGTGAACATGACACCTTCATAAATTCAGAGATGTTACTGTTTTCCTCTGATGGATCTCAATATCCAGCTAGATGACTTTGCATCTGTGCTGATGATTGTAGACAGAGGTGTGAGAGAAGATAGAATTAGGCCTTAGCTGAGGGACTGTCTGCCAACAATTATTTCTTAGACACTTATTACCTAAGATTATGTCAAAAGGAACACGAGACATGGCACCTGCCCTCAAGCAGCTTACCACCTACTTCTAACAACAGAACGTCTACTAATGGCTTCTTAGCCTGAGTGTAAGGGCGCCGGTTGGGGGGCTCCAGGAGGCAGTGAAATGTGACAGAAGTGGTGGACAAGGGGACAAGAGCTGGTCCAGCTCTTTCTATGTTTCATGCTTTATTAGTCTTGGGCAACATCTTGAGTTCTCTGGGCCTCAGTGTCTTCCTCTGTAGAGCAAGGGGGTGGGACTATTGAATCTTACAGGAAAGAAGGACAAATTTCTGGGTGCTCGGCCATGCCTGCTGAACTGAGTCTTCACAAATGGTAGACCCCATTTCCTAGACCCGAAATGTCCATTCCCCTCCCCCCCAACAGGTGACCCTGAGAGTGATCATCAGCCAGATTTGAAAAAACAATGAACTGAAAGATCTCGAAAATATCTTTTCTTTATGTGGTCATGTGGTCATAGAATGTTATTGTGTTAATTATTCCACATACACATGGGTAATTGTATATTTGTCATATTGTTTCTCTGTGTTTACATGTGAATTCATATAAGAAATGTGTTTTAGTATCTATGCCTCAGCCCACTGTTTCCTAGAGGTTTTAGCCATCTTAGGAACCCTCTTGAGACTGAAGAGGATGTTATTTACCTGGACATTTACCCTTCATTTAATTTCTGTAGGGGAAATTGAGGCTCTGGAAACCAAAGAAATGGAAAAATGAAATTGTTATGCAAAGTTAAAAAAAAGTAGACTACTGCTACTTTATGATGAAAATTTTAATCCTAATATGGGAAGATTTTTTGTCATAAAGTAGAACGTCCTTGATCAAGTAGGGGTACTGAAGGTTCATAGTGAAGAATAAGACTGCCTTTTCTGGGGGGTTGGTGATGTTAACATACCCACAATTCTTCAATGAAAATAGTACTTGAATTCCCCAAGGCAAGTGAGGGTGGAGAAGGAGGAGAGCTTATTAAGATGGAAATATTCAGATGCATACTAGGATGCAAGAGAGAGAGGGTGGAGGATGGAAGGCCACCCTGAGAGCAGGTGTGGTGCCAGCTGGGGGCTGTAAAGGTGGGTTCTCTCTGCCTCCCAGGCTGTGTCACTGCTCAGAGACTGGGACTTAAGAGAGCCAGGCTTCTTGCAGCGAGTCAGCATTGCATTGTCTAGTTTCCTTTCAGAAGCTTTATTGGAGGAAAAAGAGAGGGGAGAAGAAAAGAGTCTTCATATTAGTCTAAATCTTGAAACAGCCGAAGGTCTCTCCTGAGTTTGAAAGTGGTGGTAAAAAGCTAACCAGCACATATGGCCAAGGATAATGAAAAGGGGGAAAAGAAAGACATCCCTTCTTCCTGCTCACAATAAATGTCAGTGTTTAGAGCAGGTCATCCAAGAAATCCATTTGCTTTCCTGACTCTCTTGTCAGCGATGCCATTTTTGTTTACTGTATTTGAAAGTCTTCCTGTAACACAGGTTGTGGGGAAAGACCAGGTCCAGAGCCATCCTCCTTTGGAGCTCCACAGACTCAGACGTAATTCTCTTGCACTTTAAAACCCTGTCCACTTCCGCTTTTTATTTTTTCAAGAGATTGTGTGGGAGATTCAACTGTTATTGGTTTTATTTTAAAAAATGGCCTATAGTACTCCAGAAAGTCTTAGTATCCTGTCATAAACATTCATTAAAAAAAAATTAATCCCATTTGGAACTTCCCTGGGAAGTCATGGTTGTTAGGAAGTTGGTATAAAGGAGCACATTTTATATTGCATTTCCCATATTTGGTATCTTGTTCAACATTTCTTTTTTTTGGCCTGATGAACATTCTATATTTATGAAGACATTCTTTAAAAGTAAAACCACATAAAATACCCCTTTATTATCAGATTGCTCTGATTTAGCCTTAATTTTGTTAAATTTTTTAGAGATGATTGAAGTGCTGCTGTGGAAAGAAATGTACTATATACTATTTCTGTATCATTAAAATTAAATTTTTATGGTTGTTTTTCCTTGATTTCTTTGGGGAAGGGTTTGGGGTTATGGGAAGACTGGAATTGAGGAAGATTGCTTTAGGAAAATGCAGTACCAGGCACACCTGTGTCTTCATCAAGTCTCTGTCATCACTGTGCTTGTTTT